GCAGAACCCAAATTGGCATTTATCATCAGGATCAGAGGATCAATGGAGTGAGCCCGAAGGTTCGAAAAGTGTTGCAGCTTCTTCGTCTTCGCCAGATCTTCAATGGCACTCTGTTAAGCGCAACAAGGCCACAAATAATATGCTAAGAATTGTGGAACCATATATGGCATGGGGGTACCCAAACCTGAAGTCAGTAAATGAACTGATCTACAAGTGTGGTAATGGAAAAATCACTAAGAAGCGAATTGCTTTGACAGCTAACTCTTTGATTGCTTGATCTCTTGGTAAATTTGGCATCATGTGCATGGAGGATCTGATTGATGAAATCTATACGGCTGGAAAACGCTTCAAAGCAGCAAATAACTTACTGTGGCCCCTCAAATTATCTTCTCCATGAGTTGGAATGAAGAAAAAGACCATCCGTTTTGTAGAAGGTGGAGATGCTGGCAACAGGGAAGACCAGATGAACAGACTTATTAGAAGGATGAACTAATGTATCCACCATGATTATTTTTATAATCTTTCAGTAAATAAACAGTGACTATTTTCAGACTGAAAAAACAAAACAACAACAAAAAAAACTGCTTTCTCTAATACCCTGTGTTCCAATAAACACTTACCTTTCTGCAACTTAACCATGCAAAACCATTTCCCTTCTCTCCTTACTTTGAGCTGGGTCCTTCTCTTGTGTTATTGTTTTGTTCTGGTCTCAGTTCCAAAGTCACTTACTCTGAGCCCTTTTCTGGATCCCTTATTTCTCCTAAAATATCACTGCTCATCAGCAGTTCCCACTACAGGATATTATCAGGTTTATGAATTCATTTTCTTATTGTTTATTTCCACTGACTACTATGTAAGCTCCATGAACACTGGTCTAGTTTACACTTGTATACTCAGAACCTAAAACAATGCCTTATACAAAGAAGACTTTCAATAAATAATGGGGATGGATAGACGGGTAGATAGATGAATGGAGGAGAAAGGATTATGATAAAGATCTCCCTCTGTACAAAATCTGACTCTCTTCATGGCCTCTTTCACTGCCAACACCTGCTCTTAGCCTCTATTATCTCTCACCTAGGTTGCTTGCAGATAAAATCCTGGGACCAGCAGTTAGCATAATGGCTATGTCACTGGATTTCCATGTAGTCGACCATGGTTCAAGTCTCGGAACCAGTGGCTTAAACTCAACGCCAGGTGCTTGTGCGTGCGTGCCCAAGATCCCGAGAGGAGAATGGAGGAGAAGGGATTGCGGCGTGGCCA